CAATCTGGCGCAGGGCAAATATATGGTCAGAGGTGCTTCGACCGGGCCGGAAACCACACTGCTCTTCTTGGATCTTGAGGTCAGCTATTTCACGGCACCTCCTTTCTAAAACCTTTGCGTAGACTTTATCTGGAAGGCTCAATAACGTAATGCCCCTATAATTGGAGCATTCCTTATGGTCTCCCTTCTTGAATACGGGTACAATAACTCCCGTTCTCCAGTCCGCTAGTGTCTTTCCCGCAGTCATCGCAGTTTGACAGACACGTGTTAGCCAGCACATGACTTGTTCGCCTAATGCCTTGATCATCCCAGGGCGGATTTCGTCAATTCGTCAATTTATATTTTGGTATTTAGTTTGTATTTTAAACGCTACTGGTTTCATGTAGCACTGATATTCTGTTTTAATTCATGGTCATCCTGATAATTGCAACGTAGTCGTTACTTTCGAGTAAAGAGTTTGCACTCAATCTTCTTTACCATCTATGTTCATATCAAAAGATGTTTTACTTCAAGTGATCTGGTGTCAGCTAGCGTCTGCATAGAATCCGTTTGCAGTTCACATATTTTATCTTTCGTTTCCAAATGTATGCACATAACTCGTTCGTTTTTATTGCATTTATTGCATACGTATTGCTTTTCTCTTTGCGGTACATAAGCCATATGCTCGTTTGACTAAAATCGAAACGAGATTGAAGCGATCAGTGATAATTCTAGGTTAATGATCTACCATCGTTGTGAGGACAGTCATTCCATTATTTGCTTTCAGGTGTTTTTTGCTATACAGCAAGTTCCTTTTTGGTGTTGCGTTTAAGCCATATTAATAAATAAACTTCATAATCGAGAGTTCTGAGACTTTATCACACAATCATAGAAGAATTAAAATTCTTCGAGCTTGTTCTGTTTAACTTGGTATTAGAACCGGTGTTTAGACAATCATAGCCGTACCGAGCCGTCGGCCTTTCCCTTCTTTTCCAGAATATTAAGAACTCCTATCCGGCAGTAGAATATGATTGACAGTCTGTCAGAAATGAAATTATGATAACGCAGATTAGTGTTCGTTTTTATTTGTATATCACTTCATTTAAATTTGTGAAGATGAATTATTTATTAGCCGGAAATATTACCTACTTCTAGTAGCTGCACTATAACATGAACTGCACCTTAACAATTACTGTAGCCGTATTAAAATTGGAACCTACTGCAGCTATGTAAAACAATTAATTTGATCAATAATTAAAATAGTCTATCAATATGCTGACAGTTTGATTCATAATCACTTCCTCCGGCTGTCCGGTAATCGGCGATGAATCGCGCCACAATACACCTGCCATTCCTCGCGGTTTTGAACTTTTTCTCATCAGGCGCAGCCTTTCCGGCTCCAGATATAATCTTCCCATCGTTGTGATTAACGATCAAACTGCCTGTCTGCCCATAAGTTTAGTTACCAGTCGGCCATCTCTCATCGGTGAGCGCCAAGCTACGTGCCCGGCCCACAGAAGCTTCCCTTTTCTGCTTTCGACAGCAACGTCTTTCACCCTCGTCCGCTGTAGGGTCACTGTTTTGGGATATAGTGGTTAAATGAGATTTCCATCATTCTTTCTTCCATAGCTCGCTCGTTGACATCGCTGGCGCTCAGTAGTGAGTGACTACATCTCATCGATGTACAGGATTGCCGGCAGGATGATAGAATTGAAAAGATGGACGTGGGTTTCTTTCCTGATGTTGCCGAGGAAGTTGTTCTTTATATAATGAAATGCGCCAACCGGCCCTCTTTTTCCGTTGAATCTCTCCTAATGGTCGTGATGCGTGTTGATTTCGTTGCACAAGTAAATGTGTTTATCAACAATGTGTTATCAGTTTCATCAACTTTATCAACAGTGTGTTATCAACTTCGATCTTTTCACCGTTTAACATTACCTTTCTCTTCGGCAGGGCATGCAGTTGCACTATCTTCGTCTTTGACCGAGATTGATTTGCAGTCTGTCTTCTGCATTTTTTCTGCTTTTGTGGCACATCTTGTAGTCGACTGGCATTTAGCGATTCATGGTATTCACCGCTATGTCTCTAAAATAATGAAACTGATCAAAAGTTGAGTTTAGTTTATACTGTAGAATGTAAATTTCCTACTTGCTTAAAGATGGAAGCAACAGTGTTTTAGATGAAGTAGTTTCTGATCACCGCAGACCTGCTTTAGCTTTGTTAATCCTTGTCAGGTGCAGGCTTTCCGCTGGACTTTGGCCGTTGCTGTTTCCGCCTGATAAAGTTCCGGGGTGTAATGAAGCAAGTATACTCAACTAGTTTGTTCGAGCCTTATTTTGCTGTTCTCTTAAGAATACCTCTGCCTGAAAGTGGGTAGTCATTGTTTATTTAAAACTAGATGTAAAAAGAGTAAAAGCAGAGTAAGTAAAGTAAAAGTAAAAAGAGTAAAATTAAGCAGAAATTGATACAGCATCTTAGAGTCATAGGCCCAGTTGTCCCCATAAACTGTTGTTTTGTAATCGAGAATTTGCTTTCGCACGATATTCAGGAATGTAACCCGCGATCCAACAGGTTTTATTAAATTACATAAATGTTTGTGTTTTTCTATTTTATCATATGATTTGAAATGCTAATATTAAGGAATTTTAGGCTTTACAATCACATCCAGTT